TGTGTGTGTGTGTGTGTGTGTGTGTGTGTGTGTGTGTGTGTGTGTGTGTGTGTGTGTGTTTACCCCCCCCAGCATGCACCTGCCTGATGCTTCTCCTTCTCAACAGGCTATGTTCAGCCCTTGCTTTGTGTGTACATCCCCCCTGGACATGCCCCTTCCTTCATGCGAATCATTTTGGAAGTTAGGAAATCTCTGACTCCCTCTCTCCTTTCATATGTAAAGCACTTGGTTACCCCTCTCGCCTTGCAGACTTGGCTGTAGGTTTTTCCTTATGCGCGAAATATCCAGCAGGCCGTGCACCCTTGGCAGGTCTGTCTGCTACACGTGTCCTCATGCTCAAGAGATGGCAGCGGACTTGCAGAAATATGTCTGCCTCGACGTGCCCTCTTGCAGACATCCGCATGTCTGTCACTGCATTCTGTACATGACCGCCAGTAACTGTGGTATGATCAATAATGTCCTTGGATTTATTGATCGAGGGACTCGTTTGGTTGACTGCTTAGCTGACTGATTTATTACTCAGTATTCTCCATCTGAGGTTCTGAAGAATCTGAGGTTGAACCCATTAGACATACTTACTAATGCTGTTACCCTAGAAAGATAGAAGGGACCAGTACACAGGTGAATTGCTATGTTCTTTTCATAACTCTGCCTTCAGTGCAAGGCGAGGGTAATGAAGTAACTAACTATTCGTGAGATTCCTCAATTTAGTTAGTCAACTTAGTCTGTCCTGCTACTTGTCTTCTAGTGGTAAGGCGGCATGCTACTTGTCTTCTAGTGTCCATTTTGCCAAGAAACTCACGGCAGTGAGTTGAGCGTGAGGTATATGTCTTGTATTTTCCTGAGCAGGTGCTTTCCTCGGTACCGACTGCAGTGCATCTGAGTAGGTTCATCCATGATCTGTGGTGCCTTGTGGTCGCTGCGCACTGAACACCTGGGCGGGGCTTGGTCGTCCCGTCGCTGTAGGAGGCTACACCATGCGCTGAACTTGTATGGTTCGTTTTTTGTTTTCTATGTTTGGGAAGCACCTGGGAGCAATATTATCTCATGTATATATCATTCAGCTTTGGCAGGTCTTTGAAGGAGGGTGGACGTCAGACTGAGGACAGGTTAGGTCAGTATGTAGGCAAGCAGGCAGGTGGATATGTATCGCTACATGTGCTCGTTTTTGGTGATGGGGCAACATCTGGCTGCAGCTTTGTCTCGTATATAAAGCATTCGGCTTGCAGAGGATTTGGAAAGGCGGTGGAGGAGGAGATCAGACAACAGTGAACGTGGAATCTGAGTGCGACGTGCGTAGATTTGTAACTGCTTCTCTCTGGTGTATGCAACTGGCACTCCCATTTTCTGACGCAGGAGCAGCGTCTGGATACACTGTATCTGACATGGCAAACATCTGGCAGAAAAAGAAAAAAAAAAGAGGATGTAGAGGTGTTTGAAAGATCAAGCAGATGTGGACTGTGAAAGCACCACACTCGCACACGCCTAAGTTGATGAAGCTATCTTCCAAGTACCGCGAACATGCGAGTGCATCTATTTAAAGTGAGTGGGCCCCCACTTTCCCAGCCAGCCGAGATCCGAATCGAAACGCTCTTACCGTGTAAACCGGAAAGAGCTGTACTCGACTTTGGGCAAACTGGCAGTTCAAGGCTGTGTGAAGGATGCTGCTGTTCGTTATGAAGAGTGCTCGCTGCAGCGCATCTGCTTGGCAGGACAGCCTACCACATATTCCCATGATGTAGGGGAGTCTGGGATGGGACGATTGCTGGCAGCTGTGCAGAAGCATACATCTGCGCATCCGGATCCCGTTGGCACAAACTATCTATCGATGCAACGAAGGAGGAGAGGATCATTGCTGTTTGCAAAACGAGCGGAGGAGAGGATACTGCAATTTGCAAAAGAAAACAAAGTTGTCGGTCGTGGTTTGCCTCTGGGATGTTTTCAGGGAAAGAAGAGGATGAAGTAACTTGGCTGGCTGGCGTGCGGCTTCTCACACAGCAAGCTTTTTGAGGGTAAGAAAGGAGGGGGGATTGCGACGCGCGCTGTGGAGGATGGGTAGTAGTAGTCTCTGCTTTGCAAATAGAGCGCCGCGTTGCCAAGATAGTGCATCAAATGTCAAGGTGAGGGTATATCCACTTTTGGTCGGGTCAGGCTTCAATACCGGGGCTGTTGTTGCAAAGCCACTCAACTCAACTTATATCATCATATAATGGAGGAGATCATCTGAGATTACCAATGTACAGTTACAAATTGCAGAGATCATTGGATGTCAGAAATTTACAACTTTGGACAAAGGGTTAAACTACCAGTACCTCCGCGTTTTAAGGCCGTTAATGCGGTTGGCTGAATCGGTGCGGGTGCGCCGTGCGGGTCCATATGCATTTGCGTCAGAGCCTCCCCAGAGGGGGACGAAGACCCCCTGGGGTACTGGTGGTTTAAACGGAGGGTTCATGATGCCCATATTGAGGACTGTACAGTATGATGTGCTTATTGTGTTGAAACTTGAAATTCGATAACGACTGCGAAGTTTCATCATCGGAGATTGGATAAATGAACGGGCAAGGAAGGATGAAGAATTTGTGTACATAATTCGGGCAGCACGCTGACTCAAGCGTCAAGAACAAAGCAAGCCAGGTTGGCTACAGATACAGCATGAGAGAGTCCGTTGCCTTCCTGTCAATCGTGCTGCAGAACCATATGGAGTTGGGAAGCAATCAGAGAGGTCTGGAGTGAGTTAGTTACCTGTGCAGAGATCAAGAGTGGAGGTGGAGGTTACATTGTGTGAAGCAGATTGATGAAGTAATGGTACGGGGAGCAAACATGCTACTGGGGCATTTCGTTCAGGGTGCATGAGTGGAATGGTGGGGGCAAGAGAAGGGTGGAATTTGGACTAAGAATGGTGCAGAGAGTTTCATGCAAACGGACAAGCATTGGACTGGATGTCGAGATGAGCATGTGACCTGCTTCACCTTTTGGAGAGTTCAGCATACAGCATAAGGAAAGTCAAGGGTTCATTCGCGTGAGGAAAGGATGATTGGAGCTCGAACCTCTAGGAGTTTCATTTGGAATCTGGTATGTTAAACAATTTCCAGAGTGTCTGTCTGCTCTTTATGTGGCTGGTGGGTACAGAATGCAGCGGTTTGTAGCCTTGTGCATGACTGTTGCTACTGCTAGGCAGCTACAATCAACTGGGTGGATGGGTGGGGCAACAAATGGGTTGCAACAAACTACATTTGACTCAAGGATGTAGACTCTGTTAGGAGGCAGCTGCACCCTGTGCAGTCCACATATTTCTGAAAGGCTCTGGTGTGTGTGTGTGTGTGTGTGTGTGTGTGTGTGTGTGTGTGTGTGTGTGTGTGTGTGTGTGAGAGAGAGAGAGAGAGAGAGAGAGAGAGAGAGAGAGAGAGAGAGAAAGTGTGCACATTGTGTGTGTGTGTGTGTATGTGCGTATGTGTGTACTGTGTGAGTCACAGGGGGAAGGGGGGGATGTTGGCCTATCCGTCATCTACCGCTTCGTATTTCTGTCCCCTCGGATGTAATCCTTGTGGAGGACACTGTTGAAGCTCCAAGGGTATGGGGTGGTCAGGCACCAAACTTCACGAAAGGTAACTGCACGCTTGAACAGTTTGGGGTCGATAGAGCCATCAGCGCTCAGTTAAAGATGGGGGTTCTGTACATTCCAGGGGCCACATGGTGAGGTGAAAGGGTGGTTGTCTTGCCATGGAGTGACGATGATGTGAGTGATTAGTTTGGGATGAGTAGCGGGAGTGCCAGTGTTGTTGCAGGCGATAGCATGCAGACTATGTAGTTTGCTCAACATATGTTCGAGCAGAAGTAAGCATACCTTCTGGTCACACATATGGTGGGCAAACTACATATTCTGCACGCTATCGCCTGCAATAACACTGGCACTCCTGCTACTCATCGCAAACTAATCACTCACGTCACCGTCATCTCTATTGCTCCATGGCAAGACAACCACCCTTTCACCTCACCGTCTGGCCACTGGAATGTATAGACCCCATCTTTAACTGAGTGTTGATTGCTCTATCGACTCTGAAACTGTTCAAGCGTGCAGCTACCACTCGTGAAGGGCTGATCTGTCCATCATCTACCGCTCTGTATTTCTTTCCTCTCACCTCTGTGTGTGTGTGTCTGTGTGTTGCAGGGTGTGGGTATGTGGTTTGTTGCCAGGCAAATGCTGCAACTGAACATGTTGGAAACGAAGTGATGTGCGGACAAAGTGAGAGCTTCAGGTGGGTCAGATGATGCAGTGGACATTGTGAATCACAAGGGATATCCTTCTCTGCTCCTTTTTATTAGTCATACTGTTCTGTGTGTGATCTGGAAGAAATCCTTGGCTGATCCTTTTTATTAGTCACACTGTTCTGTTTGTGATCTGGAAGAAAGATGTACAGAAATGCTTTTAGCTACCGCACATTTGTGACAGGGCGTTGGGAAATTACAAAGTCGCTACTTTTGAACAGGTTATGAATTTGAAATGTTGTGCTGCTGATGATGATGGTGATGATGATTACAGTCAGTCGATCTATATTCTAAGGCGTTGTTAACGTTCACGGGGTTCGGCCTTTCATTTCCAACTCTTGGAGTTCCTAACAGCCTTAACTTTCAGGGTTCTGTTTCTTTCAGTCTTTGTTGGCAGTGAAGACAAAAACGCTTGTTTGACTCTGATTAGGGATTTATGTATAGAATCTATAGATATTAGATACCCACACCTGGACTGTGCCATGGCTCTGTCTCTCTACGGCATTCGGTTTCTTTTTTCTCTTTTTTTCTCTTTGCTTAGTTTGCTAGTCTTTGCTGGTACTCTTGGGATTCTATGGTGGGGAAGGCTAGGAGTCCTTGTCAGCCAGCTCCAGGAGTTTCTGGTCTGGGTGACTTGCCGTCGTTGCCGATTTATTTTATTTTTTCGGAGCAAATGATTGTGTACTGCCAAGGTGCTTTAGGCAGTGCTAATGCTGCATGCGAATGCCCAGGTCCCGACCCTGCGCTGTGGGCCTGTGCTGCTAGCGACTGTCATGTTACAGCTCTGGACAGGTGGTGCACTGCAGGGTGGGTGGGTGTGTGGGTGGTTGTCAGCTCCATTCTTTTGTTCACCAGGCAGCAAAGCTGGCAAGCGGAAAAAGGGACTTGAACCGTCAACCTTAGCTTGGGCAAGGCTATACTCTACCATTCTTGGCTGTCATGCTACAGCTGTGGACAGGTTGGGAAAGTGTTTGCCCTCGGTGAGATTCCTATGGGCTGCCGCTTTCAGGGTTGCAATTTTCAGAGCACATTGTTTAGGTGAGACCAGCATGCCAGGCTCTCTGTGGAATGTCTCCAGTGGTGCATGGAGCGGCATTTCTTCCAGCTGATGCTGGCTTGTGCTTTGCTTGCCCTGTCGTGGTGGTTTCATGGGCGCTGAGGGATGTTGTGTTTGTTTCCCTCATTTTATGAATGGCTTATCAATTCGTATTTTGTCAGAGGATGCACATCCAGACGGCTTGGCCCTCGACATGGAGGTCTGATATTTGGAGTGCAGGTGCATCTTATTTGGATGCACATCTGGCACGCCCTTCTTGGCCTCGGCTGCGGGGTGGCTTGTGCTTCTATGGCGTTTTCTTGGACTCGGCTGCGGGGTGGCTTTGTGCTTCTATAGTGTTATATCAATGTGGGATTGTTCGGCATGGGAAAGAACTCCTCAGTGGGTTATCCTTGACAACTAAGACATGAGAGAGAGAGAGAGAGAGAGAGAGAGAGAGAGAGAGAGAAATGTTGTTAAATATGATGGGGTGGATGCTGCAACACGAGGCCGCAGAAGTTAGGCACAGTGCTCATAGAGACTTGACCCAGGATGTCAAGGGGGAGAGTGATGCGAATCCAGAAATGATCAGGAGCAGAACGCAAACAATCTGAATGGTTCCCAGAGGGAGTCGACAACAGCACAGATGGCGGCACAGATGCAGAAGCAAGGTGAGAGAGGGCTGCATCTGTGAAATGTCTGTAGCTGGCTCCTGCGGACTGTAGGGTGATTAGAATCACGGTGGAGGGTTTCTGCTATGCTGTATGGGGCGTGATTGTGTACAGTACTTGTGCAAGGTATGTCCCAAACAACTACAGACCAGTCTATGCTCAAGTACTGATCTTGAGGAAGTGAACGGGGTGGAGGAGTGTGCATATGTGTCTCGTGTTTGTTTGTGAATGTGTGTGTGTATCCGTTTTTGAGCGTGTATCTGCTTTTCGCAAACATGCATGTGTGCGTAGCTAAAGGACAGCGTGGAAAGGACAGAGATGTTGCTGCCATTGGTCTGTATTTGTTGGGCATGCTTTGTGCTGTAAAATCCCTTTAACCTGTATTTGCTAGCGTTGGTCTGTATTTGTTGGGCTTGCTTTGTGCTTCAAAATCCCTTTACCCTGTATAGTGTTTCCCGTTGACTATGCATGCTCCTGTATGCTGTGCGCAGACTCCATGGGGTAGCCTGCAGCAGTTGTGTAACCAGTTGTGTAAGCAGTTGTCTAACGACCAACTCAATGTTGCTAGTGGGAAGCAATCAATAGGTAGACGGACTTCAATATTGATGTGCTGATAAGCTTGAGGATTCTAACCTTGACCTTGGGAGTTGTATTTACGTCGGGGACTGCTCGACGGCTCGTTCTCCGTAACACTCGAATGCATTGGGAAGTCCAGTGAAAGCCCAGTCCTATGGGATGTGTACAGGTTATATCCAACTATCATGTGTCTTTCTTCTTTCTTTCCACAAATCGCGTAGGCTGGTCAGGTATGGGGACTTCTCATTCTGTTTTCAACGTGTGTCTCCGTAAAGTGTGTTTGCCAGCAAAGGCTGTACAGTTTTGTTCTAACCATGCAGGATATGATGGTATCATGCACTGTTAGGCCATGTCAGGAAGTGTCAGTCACTGCCAGGCCATGCCAGGCCGTGTCTAGCATGGCCAGGGAGTGCCTGGAAAGTTGTTAATCGAACCTTCTGGTTCTACCCACTCTTTGTCTTTCTTGCGCACATCATTCATTCGGCTCGTACCTAAGTTCTTACAGGTGACCGCAGTGAATATGGTGACTTCGATTGTGCATGTGTGTGACCGGGTACACCGGATCACGGGGAAAAACGAGTACCCGTGTTGGGGTGGGGTTAAGTGCTCATCTTGGGGCTTAACTTTCACCCCGGTCCACTTTACCGTTTGGTTGAGTGTTTGCCTCTGGATAGGGAGGTCATGTGTTCGATCCTTGGACAGTGCGGACTTGTAAAAAATGTATTTTCAGATGTATTTTCAGATAGTCTTTACCCCATCAGTAATGGTGGAAGCTTGAGGTTCAAAGGGTTCGGTTGTTCGCCGATGACAAGTGGTAAACTCATTGCCGTGTTAGACGAGGGTCGGTCACTGTCAGGCCATGCCAGGCCATGCCAGGCCATGTCTGACAGTGCCAGGGAGTGCCAGGGAGTGCCAATATAAGTACACGTGACGCGCAGAGAGTGACAAGCGGGCAGTGAGAGGCAGGCAATGTGAGGAACTCACTGCAGGCTCTCACAGTTTTGGATTTTATGCAGAAAGGCACCAGCAGGCAGGCATTGTGAGGTTGTAAGTGGAAGTGAGTAGCAAGCCGGCCAGGGAGTGCCAGGGAGTGTCAATATAAGTACGAGTGGCGCGCAGAGAGTGACAAGCGGGCAGTGAGAGGCAGGCAATGTGAGGAACTCACTGCAGGCTCTCACAGTTTTGGATTTTCTGCAGAAAGGCACCAGCAGGCAGGGGCATTGTGAGGTCGTAAGTGGAAGTGAGTAGCAAGCCGGCAGTCAGAGACTGGCAGCAGCAGGTGATTGGATCCAGGCAGGCTGGGGCAGGGAGGAAAAGGAAGGCGGAGGGAAAAATAATACCCGCGACCATTTTGTTCACTGGAGAAAGTGGACGAGGACGAAACAAAGCTTCAAGCGGGGTGGGGAAAACATGATTGCTGTTCAGTTCTCCTCGCGTGGCTTGTTCGTTTAATCTTCTCTTACAATTCCCTCCAGTCAATGCCTTCCTTGCAGGTGACCATGTATGTGGGCGAGGATGCGCCGATAAAGATTTCAGTTTAAACCTTATGATTCTCATTGTCATCGCTTTATCCTAACTTTCTCAACCTTGTTCTTAGGCGTAGCTTATGAAAAATGATTAGGAGTGGAATTGCTCTCTTAAATTCTTCATCGTACTCTTTGTCATTGCCTCTCAGCGCACATCCGAAGGACACCATTGTACACTCTCTCTCTCTCTCTCTCTCTCTCTCTCTCTCTCTCTCTCTCTCTCTCTCTCTCTCTCTCTCTCTATAAATCTATATGCATATATTGCAGTTCTTGTGGCAGAGCTTCTGGCTTCTAGTGCCGAGTGTAACAGTCTGTAGCAGTGCAAAAGAGAAGGTCACAGAGTGTTGGTACGTTGTGCTGCTGCACGGGGTCGGAGGAATTATCTTTGACATAAAAGAGACTGCGGACAGTTTGGTTTTGGCAAGAAAACAACGTCGTTATGTAAGAAATCAGTAACATCAGTCATGGCATGCAGCATGATGCTGTTGTCCCACAACTCCCAGTGGTCAGAGGTACGTTCAATGGCCGCGTGATGGCCAACGTGGCGAGCCGTGTACGTGAGAGGCACGGTGAAGGGGGAGCTCAAAGAAAAATGAGAAAAATGAATAGTTTCAGTGTGCCCTCATCTTTGTTTTGTTTTTTTGTCTTTACCATATGTTTCACAAAGTGCACTCTTTTAGTTCATAGTTATGTGACAATATATATTGCTTGCCCTTTGCTCTTGCAGATCGAGTGGCGAGCGTCGGGCCTGTACAACCAGACACTGATTTTTTTTTTGTGGAAGACAATTTTTTCTCTCTTTCTTACCTCCTACATTGTTTTTCTTGCGTTATTCCTTTTTGTTGCTCCTTTTTCATTTTGCCTTTGTTGACAAACCTCCTGCGCCCTTTGCAGGACTTGTTTGCCTATGTGGCTGGTTCCATGGTGAGCTCGGCTAGCTCACTCTTTTTTATGACAGATGTTTTCACAAATGTCTTGCTTGGCTGTTTGTCCTTTCATATAAGCTTGTTATTGTATCCTTGTACATTCCTTTTGTACACCCCTTACATGTACACTCCTTGTGTACGTTTCATTTTGTATATTCGTTGCGTACAAGAGTTATGTACACTTTTTTTCTTTTTGTGCATGATGTGATTTTGGCGACGGTCACTGTAAGGGCACGGGTTGTACCCCTTTCTTGTGCAGTGGTATAGTTACGGCCCGCCTAAGGTTGGCCACACTCGGGCGGCTGCCCCCATGCCCACTCACCTCGTTCCATGTTCTTTGAGATAATCCTTCTACGCTGGTTCATGCATGTGTCAATTGCTTGGTGACATCTCTTTCTGTAGGCACTGTTGGTCTATCGGTGCAAGGCTCCTAGCATTGCTGCACACTCGTTGGGAGATGCAGTTTCACATTAATGAGCTCCCTCTTTGACAATGCTGTTGGTGGTGAACAGCAGACAAAAAGGACAACGGTAGGATCCCGACCTGAGCCGTTGGGCCTAAAGTCCTTTCACCTTCTGCACTCACCTCCATCTCTTTGCATTGGAAAACTGAAAATTCAAAAAATAGTTGCATCAACAATGAATTTGCAATTGAGGAATAATCAAGGGGCTCCCCAGATACTTCCCGCCCCCGCGAGATTTTCTGTCGTTGGCATGGCAGGTGCTATACCAAGCTTTCCTCTTGGACACTATTTCGTTTGGTCGTGCTCATATGTCAAACCGCCAGACATTTGTTCTTCATCGCGTATATTGGCATGCACCTAGAGTGGAATATTAAGTTGGATTTTGCAGGAGGTTGGCGTAAGAAACAACTTTGTCATCTTAAGAGTGTTGTGCAGGCAGAGCGATTTGAGTTGCAATTGTGAGGTGTTGATCAACAACTCCTTGAGCCAGGTATGGACCCCCTCACTGTTCGAGGAGTGATTTATGAAATTGTTCACTTGCCTTCTGGACGTTTTCATGTTGGACAGACAATGCATTCTGCACATCAACGCCTGCAAGAGCATTGGCATACATGATACTCTTCTGATGTTTTTCACCATCACCATCTCTACGGTGCAATGTGTGGGCAACCAACATTCAATTTTGTGGCTTGGCCCTTGGAATGCATCAATCGTACCCTTTATCATACGCCTGAAGATCTTGCTGATCATGCCCTCTTTTGGCGGGTACGACTTTTGCAATGGCTTTACAGCAATGTTTCCAATGCGGAAACGACAGCAGACATTCGAGAACTATAATGCCTCGTCCGAAAATCCGAACATATTCGCCAACGTTACACAACGTAACCTCGTGACCCATTTATTGACCACATCAAGGTTGGACATGTGCATGAGGTAGTTTGTGCTACGAACTTGCGCCATATGCTACAATTGCTGGAAATAGTTGCATTGCACCCCGACCCTCGAGCAACCACACATGTTCGTATATTTCACAAACTGATGCCACCCATGCGTGTCCAGTGTTGTAGCTGCATTGATGTGGCCTTGAGTGTTATTCTTGGCATGACCTTACCCGACTCCTCAAGTTGTGAATGTTGCAAAGCCTTTCCACATTGTTCATTGATGTGTCTGTTGAATACAATATTATCTTTGATGATAGTTTTCGCAAGCTTTTCCAAGAAGGTTTGAAGTATCGCTTGAATGCAGAAACTGCTAATGTGCTCCAGGCATTGGCACTTGGACTTTATGAGTACATTGCCAATTACAAAAGGTCGTTGGCTTGACATTCTCGATCTACTTATTTCTCATCTCTTTCTCTGAAGTTGAACAATTGGCGTTCTGCAATACTTGCACACTGTCAATCCAGTGCAGGCTCATTCTCCAATCATTTGAAGTTCGTCCTACACTGCTTTCTTGCGTAATTTTCACCAGCATTCTGTCATTGTCCCTGTGGACAAAACATCACACAATTTGGCAATTTGCTGCAAGAATTTGTAGTTGTTTCATCTCACCACCCATTTGGACAGTCCCACTTATACTCGTCCTCATGAATCCGTTGCTGAAGTCCTTGACCACCATGCACTATGGAATCACCATTGAGGTTACACCCACACTGATACCCTACCTTTCCTCTACTACGTGCTCAAAGGTCATAAATCTCCTCCAACTTTTCGCAACATACTTGGAGTCGCAACACAAAAAAGCAAAGGTCATAAATCTCCAACTTTTCGCAACATAGTTGGAGTCACAACACAAAAAACAATGTTGTTCCCCGGCGCGCTCGCTCTCGTCCAACAATTTGCATTAGTAATCAATGGCCTCCTCACCATCGAACTTCCTTGCAATCGCCCTTCAACTTTATGCTGACCTCCCCTGCCTACAACCAAAGGATTGTAATTGTACCAGCGAAAGAGGCTTTACCACTGGCGTCCTACATGTAGCAATGAGGGACGGCCAACTTGAGGTACACAATGTTAGAGCTACACAATGCTCGAGCAGGTGAGTGGTTTAATCCTCCATCCCACATCTCTGCTTGCGTTGTGCACGGACCTAGCTATTACGTGGCCGGTGTACGTACCTCTGACCTCAGGGAGTCTGGTAGTTGTGGGACAACGGCATCATGGTCCATGCCATGACTGATGTTACTGACTTCTTACACAGTGATGCTGTTTTTTTCCCACA